AAAAAGACAGGATATTGTGGGGTTCACACATAGAGCTGGGTGTGAATCCTGGCTCTGCAATTAGCTAGCTGTGTGGCCATAGGCTGCTTGCATACGCACTCAGAACCTCAACTTCCTCCTCTACAAAGTGGGGATCCTAATAAACCTTCCTCATATGGCAGGTAGGAAGATGAAGAGAGATTATGCATGTAAAGTGCTTATTACCGTGCCTGGCTCATAGTAAAATCCCCGTGAGTGTTAGCTATGATTATTACTACTGCCTGTCTCTTTGCAGGATGCTAAGTGAACTCATACAAATGCATGAGAAAATTGGACTGGAGGAGGGGAAGACATAATTGATGAGCCAGCTTCTACTGAAGTGTCCCTGAGGCCATTGATGGGGGAAGGGATGTGGAAGGGTGAATTCTGATCATGGGAGGAGCTAATGATTCTCTTTGGGCTAGGAGGTCCCAGCTGGCTCTGGGAACTGGCAAAGAGAAGGAAGGAGGCTAGGGATCTGTGCGCAGAACCCAAATATGTTTTATTACCCAGCAGAATCGATTTCTGGCTTTCAATCCCAGCCAGCTAAGTTTGCCCTACTCAGAGTCTCAGCTTCTCTGTTTTCCTGGGATGGTTCCCTTCCCCCAAAGCTGGACCAATGACTAGTTCTTTGGGGGAATATAAAAGCAAGAAAGGTTTTTGCAAAAGGCCAGAACGAACTAAAATAATGAAGTTGTGTGCAGGAGCGTTTTGCATAAATGGAAGTCGACTGTACAAATGTAAGAATGGTTATTAATATTCCCAATAATAACAGTGACAATCCATCTTTAGAACTCACTCTATGGAGTGTGGCTGCTACAGGTTGACACATTGTCTCAGATGGGGAGAAACATCCCCAGGGGCCATCTGCACACAGAATCACAGCCTGCATTCTTCTCCCCCTTTACCAGGACCTCGCCCTCCCAGAGTTAAACACATAATTTAGCCTTCGGTGAAATGCTTCTGATGCTGTGGAGGCTCCCTGGAGAATGGATGCTGTGCGGAGGCGGGGACCGTGGGAAGGCGAAGAATTGATAGAGCTCCTGAGCACCGAGGGCTCAACTCCTCTGGAGATGAGAAGGGTTTTGTCAAAGCCTAATGGTTTATTAATGATTCTCTCCACTGAAGAGAGCCCCATGCTTATCAATTGGCAGGTATTTAGTGAGAACCCTGGTTGGGGGGTGCCTAAAGAGGCTTGGCAGAGTTCCCAATGTGGTTGAGGAGACAGACCACAGACATATAAAGCTTATTGACAATACAAAAGCAGTCCCTTCAACAAAGAGAGATGAGCAGCCAGAGCAAAGTGGGCAGCCTCGTGTCACTGAAAGAACGTTAGTTTTGGAGTCAGACCATCTTGACAGAAAAATTCAATCACTTCCCAAACTAACTAGGGGTCCTTGAACGAGTTACGCGGCGCACTTAGTGCATGTGTAAAGTGGGGTGAAGTCACAGCCCCTACCTCACTGGGTTGTCATGAGGATTTTATGAAAGCACACATGTAAAAAGGCTAAGCAGAATGCCTGGCACAAGGTAAGCACTCGATAATCAGTCCCTATTATTATAATATGCAGGGGGAAAGGCGGAGACTGTTTGGAAATACAAGGGTTTGATTTTCCTCTTCAGCTCTTTATGGGCCTGACATTAAACTTTGTAGGAATGCAAACCAAAAAAAAAAAAACTTACATGTAAACAATAATTATAATATCACTTGGGGATACCTTTTGTCTGCCTCCTTAGTGTTGCTCACTCGATTTGGTGTGATCAAATTTCCCGAACAATGCAATAGCAGAGGAGGTAAATTACATACTCCCTGGGATCTTGGACTCCTCTCTGAGCTTCAGTTTTCCCATCTGTAGAATGTGGCTAAGAACACCTACTTCACAGTGCTGTTGTGAAAATGAAATTTGAATGTGTATAAAGTACTTGGCACTGAATAGGCAGAAAACAAATGTTAGTTCTGTTCCACTGCTCTCATCTCTCAACATGGGAATAAGAGACAATCAACCTCACAGGGCTTTTACAAAAAGGAAGTCTGGTAAATATAAAGGAAGTGCTTGTTAACAGTAAAATCCCAATAAGCATCTTCATGGACCGTTCATTACATCCCAGGCACTGTGCAATTAACAAGTCTTAACCAATTAGGTAAACATCAATTAAGTGTTTGCTGCATGCAGGACACTGTTTTAGAGACTGCAAGTAATCCAGAGAGATAAGTGCCCTCTGGGAGGATGAGCCCCCTCCACACAAGAACAGGGCATTAAGAGTAGGATCTTCAAGGATGCTCCCAGGTAGGGTACCAGAAGAGAACACACAGCAGGAGAAATCAGAGGTAAGAACGCTACTATAACACAGTGAATTCAGAGATAAGGGAAGATGGATTTTTAATAATAGAGATTCACCATGTGACATTGTATGGAAAAGGCAAATCAAATTCGGACAGAGATGTGTCCTTTTGAGTTAGGGCTCTGAAAGGACATTGATGACTGCCTTCAGAGGAGTGAAGTGTGTGGGGGGCGGGGAGGAGAAGAGGAGTAGAAGCCATCTTGCTGCAGGTGATGAAAGGAGTGTACGGGAAAAATGAGGAGAGATCCTCTTTGCAGACTTTCAGCCCTAAGAGCTGATAGAGGAGGCCTAGACCAGGCCTTGGGGTCAGGAGGGGTTGGTTTTAATGTCGGAACATTTCGATGACTTTGTGGGCTCTGGGGAAGAGGAAGCACATATGGAAAGAGAAGATGAGTAAGCAAGTGAGTGAGGATTACTGAACACTCAGAAGAATTCTGAGAAGAGATCTGTAATGTTTGGCTACAGGAAATGGGACTCTCTAGCAACAAGGAGAAAGGGCTCATGGGACACCAAATGCTGTCAAGTGACCATGAGCACTGAGATCTGACAAAGGGCTATGAGGTCTAGAATTAGGATGCTCCAATAGTGGCTGCCGAGTGGGAAGAGGTCAAACAGCGAGTGGAGAATATATACCGCATATTTGAGAAGTTTTGCAGGCTCAGGAGCAGGAAGGCAGGGCTAGAAGATTGTGCTATGAGGGAAGCAGTGAGATGTGCATAGGTGGAGGGAAGGAGACAGTGAAAGGGAAGAGATAGAAGAGGGTGAAGGCCGGCGCCACGGCTCATTAGGCTAATCCTCCACCTGCGGCACTGGCACCCCGGGTTCTAGTCCCGGTCGGGGCGCCGGACTCTGTCCCGGTTGCCCCTCTTCCAGGCCAGCTCTTTGCTGTGGCCCGGGAGGGCAGTGGAGGATGGCCCAAGTGCTTGGGCCCTGCACCAGCATGGGAGACCGGGAGAAGCACCTGGCTCCTGGCTTCAGATCAGCGTGGTGCGCCGGCCACACTGCGCCAGCGGCCATCAGAGGGTGAACCAGCGGCAAAGGAAGACCTTTCTCTCTGTCTCTCTCTCTCTCACTGTCCACTCTGCCTGTCAAATAAATAAATAAATAAATAAATAAAGAGAAAGAAGAGGGTGAAATGTTCTCTGGTGGCTCCGGTGGCAGCAGCAGAAGGACTAAGCTTCAGAACACCGGTGGAGAGTCTCTCACTCATTTGCACTGGAAAGGATCAGGTTCTGCATTTAGTCCTTGAACCTGGTCTTGGGTCCTAATTTTGTCACTCCTGACTCTGCATTGTTCAGGGCAAGTCACTATCACTGGATGATACGAGAAGCAGTCTCTGAGGACAGCAAGGTGTGTGATTTCAAGTATACATGGGAGAAATCTGTCCTCCCACCTCCAGGATGCCAAGAACCTGAGCCTAGTCCAGTAGGGCAGGCATCCAGTGCATGACCTGTACCCAGTAAACAGTCTCTTCCTTCCAGTTTGCTGAAATTGCTACACCAGAGCCCCTCTTGAAAACAAAATCAGGGCCCATGGTCACTCAGAGACTTGAGATTTCCTATTATTTGCTGAGGCACCACAGGCCCAGAGTCCTGGGATCTGGCCAAATGCTTCTTCTACTGAAGGCAACAGAAAGGACTTTCTGTATCTCTCCTGGTCTTCAGCTCTTTGATATGTACACAAAGCCTGCTGAATGTGTCACATGGCCTTCCTGCCGCTTGACTCTGCCACAGCCAAGGCCTTCCCCATCATGGTTGTTCTCTGATCCTATAGGCAAATGCATCTCTCATGGCACCTCCCTGTCTTGCCCTTTGACTTCCAGTCTGACAAGTCTCCTGCGATCTGGAGGGTTGAACTGCAGGACAGCTGCAACCACTGAGTGCTTGAAAGGAGGAGAGGGTGTGGGAGAAGTCGGGAGAGAGGGCCCTTGGGTGAGCGCCAGATTCAAAATGACTCAAAAGATAAAGTCAGTCCTCAGTATCTTTTGTCCTAGGGCTGATCTAAGTGCTCACATCCCAGCTCCAGTAGCGCCTGGACTGTAGGAACCTAAGGGAAAACGGGCCAAGAACTCAGCAGCTAGGAGAAGTGAGGGTGCTGGAGCTAGCCCTGCAGCTCTGGTTAGGGCTTGGGTTGCCCCAGGATTGAGTTACAGTGGGGAAAGTCTTATTTGCATTGACAAATGGCAATTAACTGAGGAGAAGATTAAAAGTGAAAGAAGCTACAGGCTCAGAAATGTCAGCGGTTAGTGCGCAGGAGAATTCCTTCAGCGCATTTGCCTCTCCCCTTCTCCCTCCTCCTTTCGTCCCTCCCCCTTTCGCTCTTCTCCCTGCCTCTCCTCTGCCCTCCTCCTTCCTGCTTGCTCCATCCACCCCCACCCGCAGCTACTGATGTGATTTCTCATGATCTACAGTCAAATGCCATTAATCCCGACAGGCTCACGAGGGTCCAGCTAAGCTGTCCCATGAACCAATCCTGTGAGCAGACAGACCAGGCGAAGCAGCAGGCAGACGGCCACCCTCCCCCGCCCCCTCAAGGGTAATGGCAGCTAAACCAATGAACCAGAGTGACTGCCCCTAAAATAATCAATAAATCACTTGGGGTCCAAGAGAGGTGGAAAACTCCCCAGCAAACAGTGCTCAGGACATTTTCCATGACCTCCTCTGCCTTGAATGTCCATGGCGCACCAGCCGCACAGGCCAAGATTGACTCTGCTCTCAAGGTGCCGCTCCCAGATTCCGGCCGGCCAGTCTCAATTTCAGAGGGAGGTCATTCATTCCAATGGGATGTGACAGGTGCCATCTTCAGGCTCCTGGCTCTGCTCCCAGCAGCAGGGACTGTCGCTGACTACAAATCCCCCAAGTGCCACGCTGGTCTGAAGACAGCACACCCTGAGGTCGGCAGATGACCTTTCCAGAACTCATGCACCCAAGGTGGGATGGCAATGTGCTGTAATGGACGGAGCCCTGGACTAGGAGGCTGGACGCCTGGTTTCCAATCTCTTTTCAGCCACTATCTTGCTAGGCGATGTTGGGTAAGTCACTTTCCCTTTCTGGATCTCAGTGTTGCCCCTGGGATGTGAAAGATTTGGATTAGATTCTCTAATGACACCCTGAGCTCTGATGAGCAAATTCAGAAATTTACAAAAAGCAATTATTTTTGGAAAACATCCAGCTTTAATTAAAATTCGTTTTGGGGATTCCTTCTCTGAGGCTCCAATTTGGCTGCTTTGTTGCCAAAGCTTTTATGTTCAACTTCTACTCAGGACGTGCAATCATTTCCTAGGACCCAGATTCCGTCTAAGACATCAAGATCCCACAGGTCTAGCCTTCCCCTGCTGCTGAGCTAGTTCGTGAGATGGAGCCCTGTGGGAGAGAAAGCACCATTGGACCCTAGATTTTAGTGTAGGCAGGTAGAGCAGTAATCTGGGGGCGGATTCCCCCTAACTTTGTATTTTCAGACTTTTTTGACATGAAGTTGAAAGAGGGGCACAATAAATGCTTGTAAATACTCTTAGCAATTTGCCACATTGTGTGCAGTTTCTTTTTCTCGGCCCTCCCCAGACAGCCCCCGGCCCCTGGATTTGAAAGTATTTTGTGGAGATGACAGTGTATTCCTAGGTAATTCAAACTGTATCTCCTAAGAATAAGGATATGCTTAGTTGGGAAGATATCAGACTTTCTTAGGGCTTTGGATCTCTCATCAAGGGGAAAGTCTCCTGTCTTTGAAATCCAAAGATGGTCAGGAGGTATGTAAGGTGTAAAGATCAGCTTTTAGTCTGAATATGGGGAATGTGAGAGGGAGCTGATCGTAAGAGGAGGCACAAACAGTGCTTCAAGTAGAGATTCCATGCCTGCATCAAATCACTTTCCATCCGAGACTTTCAGCCTCTTCATTTACAAGGGGACTTCACAAAGTTCATGGAAAATGGATTTTGCTGATAAATTTGCTTGATTGCCCCAAACTTTTGAAATCCACACCTAATTTTTTCATGGGAATATGCAATTTGCACAAACTGTTTAAAAATCCCTGGTAGAAAATGGGGGTTGCGCTAATCACTATCTTACCAACTTCCCAAAGCTGAAACTGTACAAGGTTCAGGTATGAAATAAATACGAAAGCGGCCATACTGTAATATATAAGGCAAGTAATTTCCAGAGATGACCTTGGAAGCTAGCATAGCTCAAGAGCAATGTTCTTCTGTCCCCACACCTGGACGTCTTCAGTAGCACATGGAATTGGATGGGTCCCCTGTTCAGCCCCCAAACTCTTGTTACTGGAAGAATGACTTTCCGGTAGAATGCCAAGCTCCATGGCTTGTTTCGCTTGTAGTTTTTCATAGGCATAAGCACACACCCTAGTTTTTTTTAGTTCATTTTTTCAAACAACTCCATTTTCTTTTATTGGTTATGGCATAAAACTAAAAGATAACCTCCCCACTTTTTCTTTCTATGCCTCTCCCCTTTAATTCCTATTATTCCCCTGACCCCACCCTGCGGATACTTCTAGAGTTGAAAAATTCTTTCGTCTTGCCTATCCCTAGCTCAGAGAGTGAAACACTTTACAAAATTAAGAGAGCATTTGGGATTTTTAACTTGATTGTATCTTTTCATTCAACCAGAGGGTTACGTGTGTGGGAGATGCACTTGTCAACTCAAAGCAATTTCTCTCCCTCCTTGGGGACTGAAGGGTAATCGTAGCTCTGTCTTTCTGGTGTCAGGATGAAACTTGCATTTTCCTGAGTGGTGTCAGCATGCTGACAGACAGCTCCTGGGATCTAGTGAGGAGTACTGGAAAAGAAACGGCAGGGGGCCAAGAGATCTGGAGGCTGGTCTCGGCTCATCTCTCCTCCCTTGGGTGACTTTGGGCTACTCACTTTACCTTGCTTTTCTAACTTTAAAAAAATGGGAATAACTCCCTCTCATTTCTACCTTCCAAAGACAGTGCCAGGACTCTGTCAGGCTTTGGTGATATGAAAACGTTTGGAAGTAATAGAGCTACAGGATTTTTTTTTTTAAAGTGCTATGGGAGCAGTGTATCCTAGGAATTCTTTTAAGTAGCTGGAAAGGAATGTCATTTTTTTCCTTGCGCAAGTCCATTTCAGAAATGAAGAAACTGGGGTTGTTGTGGGGTTCACAGACATCCCCCCAAAGAAGCCCCTTGATTTCAGGGATCGGTTCATGATGAGCCCAGGGAAAACTTTCCCAAACAGAAGAACGGATAGACAAAGTGTTGAAGTCCTGAGGCTTGGAGTCTCCTTTAAAGAGTACATAAAACTTCGGCAAAAGAGATATTGGGAGGCAGGGTTGTTAATCTGTCAATTCCCTCCATGGGCTCTGGAGTTCGTGTTACTTCTGAAAATGTGGAGGTCTTTACAAGAACCCATGGAGGGGGGTGGCAGGGAGCCTGACATCCCCATTTCGTAGAGGGGAAGCCTGAGGCACAAGTTAGGCAGCACACGTCCTCGCATTCACCCAGCCAGGCCGAAAGCACGTCCAGTCTTGCTCCTGATACTTTATCTTGAAATGCCATGCTCTCTCCGCTGTGCCTCAGCTGCCTCTTTCTTAGTGCAAGGAGCCTGGTACGTACGGAGTTCATAGCAAGTAGCTTGACTGGGAAATGCTGTCAACATATACACCAGAACGCTTAGAAAATTCACATGCATGACCTGTAGGCTCATTTTGATTATACCTAGACTCCAGCAGGAGCCAAGCCTCAAAATGTGTTCTGCTTCCTCTTCTAGCTATTTACTTGTGCACCCAAAGGAAATAGAGTGGGGTTAAAGTGATCAGTGCCCGTCGATTGCTGCCCCCATCTGCCTTCTGGCTGGGGTGCAATGGGATGAGGTGGTGCCTCTGCAAAGGAGGGCTACTTTCCTCTCTGTTGGAGTTGCCCTAACATCGGTGTGCAAAAGAGTTCCCACAAGGAGCCTACTAAAATGGTTATGTCTTGGTCTCTATGCCCAGAAATTCTTGTTCAGTAAGACTGGACTTGGAGCAGGGTGTCTGTGTTGTGGCACATCCCAAGTGATTGTGATGCATCTGGTTCAGCAGACCATATCTTTGGAAACACTGATCCATGACAAGGTTTAAAGGCATTTGATTCTTAGAGTTCCATCTAATTAGCAAGTGTTTTCCTGGACACCAGGCACTTTTAGGTTTCCGGGTGGGGGTGGGCGGGAAGCTAGGGAGGCTTCCTTCTCAAGGTCAACAAGCCCCCAGATTGACTGTCATCATTGTGACTAAGGACTTCAGGGCAGACAGAGACCTGAGTTGGGAGCAGAGTGTTTGGTTGGCTCTTAATTGGAATTACAATGGGAGACCTTTAAAAAGCTGCAAGCTTTGCTACTCTAGGACTTGAACTGTCCCAAGTGAGGACAAAGATGCCCACCCAGCGTGCCCCTTGTGAACACACACCTTGGGATGAGGGGTTGTAGGTCCAGGCTAGGAACCTGCTGGTTGCTCAATCGGTGCACTAAGGATCCCTGCACCCTTGCAAAGGAGATGCAATAACCAGTTACGTGGCCCCCGCAGAGAAAGAGTTGTGCATTTTACTCACAGACCAACCTCCTCATTTGTTGCTGGATCATCAAAAGTATCCCAAGTGCCCTGTGCCACTAGCACATCTCCAACCTACAGATCCCAGGCATTCTACTCTCTAGCCTAGTCATTGATTCAGCAGAGATAAGGTTACAGATTGTTTTCTGTGAGTAGGTTTTTCCAACTCCAGAAAATCATGCATGTTTGTTTATTAAAGAAAAATTAGAAGATACCAAAATTTGAAAATAATAAAACAGTTAAAAATTGCCTCTAATTGCATTGCCTACATACAATCACAATTAGGAGTCTAGTGAGTTTACTTTTAGCTTTATTTTTCTATGTGTAGGCTTATTATTTATTTCTACCATTTATATAATAGGGTACATACACTTTGAATCCTGTCTTTTTTATTTAAACATATCCCAAGTGTATTTTCAGGTTATCATATAAACTTCCAAATCACATATTTAAAAATAATAGCATAATAATCAATCGACTGAATTAACGCTACTTGCGTAGCAACATCTGCCACTTATCAGACATTTGATAAATATTTGTTGAATGAATTAATAGACCAATGGATGAATGCAGTCACTTATCATGTGATAAAAATTTCAGAGGGAACTTAACACTAAGTAAGTGACAGAGTAGGCTGGTCAAAGAAAAAGGGCAGGGGAGAACTGACTGTTGACCTGGTCACTATTTTTTTTCTTTTTAAAAACATTCTGATCTCTTTCTCTCCCCGCCTCGCCCCTGCCCCCGGGCAGGGTCGGTGTTTTGGTATTCCTGGGCTTGTTTATAACTATTAATAGCATCATTTTACAGATGAGAAAACTAAGCCTCAGAGAAGTTAAACAACCCTCCCAAGGTTACATATGGAGTAGATGGCAGAACAGGTCTTCTGATCCAGGTCTGTGGGCATCCTTAACTTTGTTCCTTTACCACATCACACCTCTTGAGAAAAGGCAACAACAAAGGATAGCTGTTTGGGGGTTGTAGCCAAGTTAGACTTATTCTGAAAGCAGAGACATTCTAGTTACCTAAGACCCTTGGGTTGGACTGGGCAAGCAGGCAGCCTTTGTACCATGAGGGGCCAAAAACCAGCTCATTCAGTTGTGGCGGGGGGCGGGGGGAGGAAGAGCCCATTGAGGACATTACAAAAGCTGGTGCCGGATACACTCATGGGAAGAGAGGAGGCTGAGATTTCAATATCCAGAATGTGAAGCTGGACACTTGTAGCTGTCAGATTTTCTGGGTGTTTGAACAGGAGAAATTGATGAAAGAACTGGTCTGGTGAATGTTTGCTGCCCTTGATTGCTTTTAGATAACAGAGAAAATGGAAAATGATTAAGAAATTGGCACAAAGGCAGAGTGGGACCAGGATTCCAAGAAAGGAAGGAAAATGGGCAGAACCCCTTCAGACTTTGCTAAAAGTGGCATGACAAGGTACAGGCGATTTTTCCATTTTATGTACCCCTTCTGTGGCATTAATGTT